GCCGTGCAGTGCAGCTCGCGATATGGGTAGGTTCTGTTCTTGACAGATGTGGAAACTTCTACAGCTGCTTCTTGTGGCGCCCGCCCCCCGCTAAACCCTTCTGCATGTCGAGTTTCTGTTCTTATGATGCTAATGCGCGCAGAGTGTCTGTCATGACCGTACAAGAGTAGCTGCAGACAGGCTTCATTCACAAAACTCTAAATGCTTCATGGCTCTAGGTTTGTGACATCCGTTCTGGTAGAGATCTTGACTGCATCTTCCTGCAATTATACAAGTGGGTTTCTCACACCCTTTGTGAAGTGTTAGGCTTGCTAAGGTGTGGCCTTGCAGGAGAGGCAGGCACTTCATGCCTGTGTGACCCAGAAGTGCTCCCTGGGCAGACAGCCCAGGGTAAACTGCAGAAAAGCGATGTTCAGGGTGATGAATTACATGATTGCCTGTAGAGGCTGTGCAGCAGCTCTGGGAATGTTATATCAGAAACAGTCCAGATGCTTTGTTTTGGTTAAAACTATAGAAAAAAAAAATACACTTGGTCCTGAACTATTTAGTTCAGATTTAATGGGTATAAAAGTGCCACATTTGTTCTTCTGAATGGGGTGAAAGTGCCCTAGAAGGATGAGATTGTGTGTGTGGTCGTAGGTATTTAAGGAAGAACGCACCATTATCAACTAAGTAATTGTGACTGCTGTAAAGACAGCAGAAATGTGCTTTAGCCTGCTATTAACAACAGTAATAGAAATGCAAAAACTTGGATTACATTCCTTTTTTTCCATGCACACTTTGTGTACAGAATGCAGAGCAAGAGTGGTAAAGTCACACTTGCTCTAGCCAGTGAGCATCAGTATCGGCTGTGTTCTGAATGTGCTGCACACAAATCAGTTGCTGAAAATAACAAAGATATGTTTGCCCTAATACTAATAATAATGCAGGGGTGTGTCTCCTTGCTATGAAATCAAAAGCAAGGCCAGAACTTGCACAAGTTGTGTAACTGGAAAAGGCACTTTTGCAGCAGTCTGTAACAGCATCAGAAGCTGCTCATGAGTGGGGGAAACTAATGCGAAACTTTAATGCATGTAGAGAACATCAAGGTCAAAAATTCTCCTTTAGTGCCCATGTGTGCACTGGTGCCTGACAATAGTCTCTTTAGTAACGATGAAACGAAGTAACTATATTGCCAATTTTAGTTTCTTTTTTAACAAAACAGTAGTATATTGGGATATAGCTGTTAGTCTATATTGCAATCTGTACAGAAACTGAAATAAATTCCTTTGGTGAAACTCGAATTTGTGTAATTCTTCTGCCTCCTTCTTGTTTGTTCTGAGAGTTCTTGAATTTCTCCTTGCGCTTGGGAGCTGTTGAAGATGGTGAGAGTGCATGTGCCATCCCGCAGTAACAACCAGATGAGACTCCTGATTTAAACTTCTCAACTGCTTAGAGTCTTGGCAAACTTGAAGTACTTCTTTCTAACTGGCTTCTCCTTTCCTGCTATGGAGGAGCGAAGGGAGCTCTTTGGAACCACTGTGTCTCTTTTCCTGCAGTGTCTCTCTCTAGAAAACCTTGTTTTGTTCAGCTCATTTTTAAGTGATGAAGCTTTGCTGCTTGGCTTGCAGCAATAATCTTTTATGTATATCACTCGAGTCCTGTTGACTTTCATGTCTGTGCTCATCACTTTAACCTTCGGTGCAGTCCTTTCTATACTTTTCTACCCCTCATGTGTTTTCTGTTGCTGCTGCTGTTTTCTGACTGCTTCCCTCATTCTGTTGTCTTATGGTTTCACATCTCCTTATTGGTCAGGAAAAAATTTAACTTTGTTTATCTGGAGTAGTTTAAAATACCTTTTTTTTTTTTTCTAAATACGTTTAAGTTTTTGTGTGGTGTTGTCTTTTTTTTTTTTTTTCTTTCTTTTTCCCCCCTGTAGGATACAGCAGGACAGGAGCGCTTTAGAACACTGACTCCCAGTTATTACCGAGGAGCTCAAGGAGTTGTTTTAGGTAGGAGGTATATGGAAGAAAAACATGATTGCAAAAAGTGAGGTCTTTGTTACTACGTATGTACTTATCTTTGCAAAAAGAGGTTGTCTGAGAGAGTCAGAGGAACGATTGTGATTGTGGCTTTTACCACATCACTGCATCATTAACAGAGTGTGCAAAACCACTGGTAGGAAGTAATGCTGCTTCAAAACATTTTAGCCTCAAAATACAGAGATGGCACACTGCAGGCTGCTGCGTGGGTGAGTTACGAGCTTCGGGGGCTTTCTGGTAATCGGGCACATTGGGGTTTGTGTTGGTTTTTTTCCCCCCCAGAAACTATCGATGTGATTACAGTAAAGACATGAGGTTTGTAGCGTGGATGTCGAGTCAGTCCCTTCTGTGTGACACCACCAATCAGGAAAAGAAGGGATTCTTATTCTTGGGTTTTGGGAAGACTGAAGACCTTGCTCTACAAAACGTTCTGTCCGACTTTGGTACAGCTTTTTAAACCTTAGTGATCAAATGAATGCAGTTACGAAGTTACCAGTGACCGAAAGTCACTTTTTACTCCAAATTCACATTTTTAGCAGCAGTGCAATGCCTGTAGTTACACAGGAAAGGAGGTGACAAAATACCTGGTTTAAAATACTGTGTAGCCCAATTCAGAACTAGTAACAGGTACAAGATTACAACTGGTAAGTGTGATTTCCAGTCACAGATCTATTGCAGAGATGGTTATGTTCTGAAATCCTCAGTGACGTTGGGTGAGCCCAGCTAATGTGTTTCAGCTCTGGGAAGATGGTATCATTGAGGCATCTTTCTGGAATTCCCTCATACTGCTTTTTGGGAGCAGCGGGTAGCTAGGAGGGGCCAAGTTCCGCCATAATGAAGTAAAAAGTAAATAATACCAAGATTGTACAGCTGTTAAGCTCCTTCTCCTCTGTTACCAGTGTATGATGTTACAAGAAAAGACACATTCACAGGACTAGACAGCTGGCTGAATGAGCTGGAAATTTATACCTCCAAAAACAGCAATGTGAAGATGTTAGTTGGCAATAAAACCGATAAGGTCAGTTCAGAATCACATTCTCTTGCTCTCTTGCACTCTTCCACTGATGTCTCAGTCATGATAGAGTATAAATGTGAGATAAGTGCTGAAACTAACATACCTGTGGTGTTAGGAGGTGATGCTGCTGTAACCGAGGGAGCTAGGCTGGGTAGACTCAACTTACTGTGTTGTTTTAGAAGGAGATCTGGTTAAAACATTCGAATGGAAAATCACCTGGAGAGATGCAGCTGATGAGAGATTCTGTTAAAGTATTGTGAGGTTCTGCCTGAACTGCAGCATCCCACTGAATGTAACTGAAGCGCAGCACCACAACCGCTGCTTGCTTTTTGACTAGGCTGTGTTTTAGACGGGGTGGGGAAGGAGAATTCAGCTCCTCACATGGCTGTAGAGTATGTATCTGTGTAGGTGTGAGGTGCGCTGGTTGCTGTATGTTGGGTGTTTCAACATACCTTAGGTGTCTATTGCATAATGACATGTTTCACTTTTGCTTTACTACTACAATAGGTTTCCTGTGTGGCTATCCTGAACTAGATACCCTTCTGCCCCCTTCCAAATCTGCCAGTTTTCAGATCCTTTGATATGCCTTTTCAGCTATTAGACTACTGAAACTTCCTTTCGGGCATGTATCTTCCTCCTAGTTGATTAAGAAGATAGCAAAACATTAATTTCCAGCTGATGTGGTGTTGCTACCATTCAGTTTGAGCCCCTAACAGCCTGCCTAGCAGTAAGCTGTCTGCAGAGTGGGAAAATCCTGATTACTACGTGGTTCTAGAGACTTTTCAACAAAGCCTCACTTCTGCAGTGGTGCTTTTCCAGGGACTTCCTTAAAGTGGCAAATGTGGCGTATTTTAGTCATGTTCCTCATTCATCTCTGCAGCCTGATCGGGAAGTAGAGAGAAGAGAAGGACTCCAGTTTGCTAGGAAACGCCAACTGCTTTTTATAGGTATGTAACTCCTGCTAAACCCTTGTATAGTGCTGTTTAGTTTGGTATTGCAAAGGGTGAAGTGAAGCTTCTTGAAAATACTTCCAGAAGGAAGTGAAATGCATAGGGCAAAACTCCTGCAATCTTTGTTTCCTGGTTTAGCTATGGAGTAATTGTCTCATAGGTTTACTACCACAACCTTAGAACAATTTCTCTTCGTTATGGAGAGAATGTGGAGCTGTGGAATTGTTTTCATGTGATGCTTCTGACTGGGATGCCTTTCTGTTTGTCACATTCCATTGAAGTGTGCCTTCAAGAGCGAGTGGAGAGGAGGTTCAGTCATTAAAAAACCTTATCTTTTCTCTGGTCCCAAAAGACCTTCTTACAAAGTGGAATTCTCCGTTTGTTATTTTCTTCCCCCTCCACCAGAGACCAGCGCCAAGACACAGGATGGGGTGCAACATGCCTTTGAGGAACTAGCCATAAAGATCCTGCAGACCCCAGGTGTTTGGGATAGGAATGCAGAGAAGCAGCGAATGCAGCTAACTGGAGCCTCAGCACAGCGGGATAAAAGCTTCTGTGCTGTGTACTGTCCACTCGCTTAGCTCCACAGGTGCCTGTTCTGCCTGAATGGAGGGGATTTTCTTGTTAAAGCAGGGTGGGAGCAGTGGTTCCAAGCACTAGTTTGTGCCTTGTTTGACCTGTCGCCAGCTGAGTGGGTCCAAACCCCAAACTGATGAGCAAAATACTTTTAGTTCGTCAACAAAACGCTGTTTCTCTTTCCCTTCTGCACAGCAGAGATCTCCAGGTATCTCTCTGGTAACTGTCCGGTTTTTCACTATGAAGTCACAGTTCTGAAGAGTGTCGTGCTCTTGCTGAATGCCATCAGCACAGACTCTTTCTGAAACTCCTGCCTTGGCAGAAAATAAAGTAGTATTCCATTTTGGAAAGCTTCCTTTCCCCACAATGGCATGAGAGTTTAGGCACCCAAGTTCCCTTAAATGCAGTTAACAGGAGCCACCCTGAGCACTTGTTTCCCTGTTTCACATGTATTTAAGTGGTCAGAATTGCTACGTGTCCCCAGATAGTAAGTTGAGTTACTACTTAAAGTGGTAGTGAAGAGGTGTATCAACATTTGGCAGGAAAAAAACCCAACACAACATCTGTGCATTGAAAATGTCAACTGAGGTGCTTGTAAGCAAGTGCCAGATCCAAAGAGAGTCTTTCATTACGAGATGTGAAGTCAGAGCAGAAAAACCGCAGTTTCAGATACAGGAAGACCACTGTAGATGTTAACCAAGGCTCATCCTTCAATACTACAAACCATAAAAAAAGAAATACGGAAGACTGTACATTTTAGGCGTGAGCAAGGTAGCAGGAGTTTCAGTTGAAGTACTTTGACTTAGACCTTTTGGCACTACTGCCAAAGCAGGACTCGGAATTAAAGTAAATTTGCACTCAGATTGTCTTTAAAAATCTGTTCTCAAGCTTTTTTCTCCTTATCAGGCATGGCTAATGCAGCAGGGACTCAGTATATTGGCAGGTTGGAACCATGTCCTCAGAACTACCCTCTGCATGTACCCTCTTCCTATAATTTTAGAATAAATAGGAGCATTGAATGTGTTCTCTTCCTCCCCCTGCAACTGAAGCTCATCTTGGCTACCTGCAATCATTAGCATGTAATACAGAGCCTCTCAGCATCTTTTATTTCAAACCTCATTAATGAAACAGATGTTTCTGCCAATATCTGGAGTTAGTATCTGCCTCTGTATATCCACACAGGTTATCTGCATACACTTAAAACACAATTAACTCACACTGAATATTTCAGTTAACTTTTAATAGCAAAGCTGTATCTTAGTATCTTTTCAGTTATTGTAACTTCAGGTTTAGCACTGCATGTAATTTGCCTTGCTTCTCTTAATGCGGATTTCTACTGTTAGACTGTGTTAGACCATAAACCATACAAACTGATTTCTTTACTTGCTAGTCATTTGGAATATTCTATGATGTTAGAAGCAACCTTGCTACTAGTGAATTCTGACCCTTAGACAGTATCTTACCTGGTGTTCTTTAAATTAAATCTGTATCCTTGTCCTGGGTTCAGCTGTGTATATATATATATATATATATCAAAAGCAATGGTATATTGAACAATGATGTGAGATCTGAGCATGACGTGAATGGCATGGAATATGGGGTGGATACTGTCCTGGGTTCAGCTACAGCAGTCATTTTTTCTCCTTCTTAGTAGCTGGTGCAGTGCTGTGTTTTTGACTTTCAGTCTGGGAACAACGCTGATAACACCGATGTTTTTAGTTGTTGCTCAGTAATGTTTACTCTGAGCAAGGACTTTCTCAGTCTCATGCTTTGCCAGAGAGGAGGGGAAGCCAGGAGGAAGCAGAGGCAGGGCACCTGACCCAAACTGGCCAAAGGGGTATTCCATACCACAGCACGTCATGCCCAGTATATAAACTGGGGAGAGTTACCCGGAAGGCCCAGATCGCTGCTCGGGTCGGGCTGGGTATCGGTCGGCGGGGGGTGAGCGGTTGTGTCCTTTTCCCTTGTTATTCCTCTTATCATTATTACTGGTAGCAGTAGTGGTTTGTATTATACCTTAGTTACTGGAGAGCTGTTATCTCAACTCGTGGGAGTTACATTCCTTCGATTCTCCTCCCCATCCCTCCGGGAGCGGGGGGAGGAAGGAAAAGGGGGGGAGTGAGCGAGCGGCTGCGTGGTTCCAAGTTGCCGGCTGGGTTTGAACCACGACAATCCTCTAAACATGTTTTTCTTGCCCACTATAAAAGATGCTTGTAATCTGCAGTACAGATCTACAGTGAGCTCAATCTGCCCATTTCATAGTTTCATAAAACCACTTAGTTTGAAATGCTGCTATTTAAATAAAACATTACCCTCAGTTTTTCATAGGATGAAGATATGTTGTCACAAATGTACTTGGCATAGCTCTTGTAAGCCATGTCACATGGCTGGAGAGAGTTAACAGCAGAGTTGATGGGTCACCCCATGTGAAGGAGTCCTTGTACGTTTGCTGAGGTTACCAGTCTGACACCAGATCTGTGCTGTCGAGCCAGAGCAGGTACCTGATTGTGAGAACTGCTTGTTCTTGTAGCAACGTCAACCTCAATGCTTATAGGCAAGACAATGCATCAAAGGTGCCAGGGTATGAGTTTGGAGAAGATGGATATGGGTGACTACACAATTTCCTGGGCTAGAATTAATGTAGATTCAGCAAGACTTGTGTGTAAGAAAAGTGCTTTTAATATTGTTAGTTTTGCTAAATGCATTGGAACAAGAATAACACCATACTGTTAAGATGCAAGGAATGAGACTGGTGCACCCAAAGGTCTTGTTAAGGGGCATGGTGCACAGGAAAGGTTAGTCCTCAGCAAGCAATGGAAAACAGGAACTAGTTTCAACTAACACATACCTGTACAATATTCAATTTTCAAATAAAGCCTAGGTGCTTCCAGAATCATCTCTCTGCCTTTTCTTAACATCCATCTAAAAATCCTGTATATTCACATCTCCTGAATACAGACAAAGTCCTCTTCACAGTTAAGATTTCTTCTTCGGGACTTGATGGAGCCAATTAGAAGTCTTTAACTGATTTGGAACAAAGTTAGTCATAAATGGTGGAAATACGATTATTTGGACCCGTTGCTCATTTACTTTGTACTTCAGCCTCCTCCTTTCATTGCCCTTTTTGGAGCTATGTTGGTGTCAAGGTGGTATCCCATCAGGTGGCATCTACAAAGATGTCTTGTAGAGAATAGGCTTCTTTAAAGTCCTGTTTTAAATCACATGCAGTCATTCTCATGTAGGCTAAAAAATGTCTCTGGGTTATGAGCTGCCTGGTCACACAGGTGTGTTCACAGGTGGTTTAACATTTGTCCTGTGCCAGTAGGAAGAGATTGGGATGAGCCTACCTGTGCAAGACAACTTGGAGGCTTTGGGAAATATGGGATTCACATAACCCCCCCTCCCCAACCACTAGAATACCTACAACTTACAGAACTGGCCGAGTTTTAGTGCCAAATTGGAAAGGATTTGCAGCTAATGGTCCTGAGTGAAGGGAAGCATTTTCTGCTGGCCTGCAGCCGACTGAACTTCTGAGTGACCAGTAATGGTGTGAGCACTCTCCAAAGGACATCCTTCTCTCCCTGAAGCACCGTGTTCTGTAGGCATAGTGGTTCCTAAAAAGTATCTTAACTCTTGCCACAGAATCTGTGGCCAAAGGCTGAAGATTCTGCTGGTTGGTGTCCTAGCACTGCTTAAATGCTTTGGAAGTATAGGACCCTCTCTGAAACTTCACTGTACAAAATGCACTATTCACAACTTAAAAGTCTCTCCTCCAATGTTTTACTGCGCTGTTTAGACCGAGTGACCACTTTTAAATGACATCTGGTCAAGATTTTCATTCAGGAAGGCAGTGTCAGCTTCTGACTTTTAGTTTTTCCCAATACAGTCTGTATGTACGAACTTCTAGACAGACCAGTAGTTTTGAAGTGAATTTGACATAGTTCCCTTTTCTAATGCATATATTTACAACACATTTTTATAGTGTCTTTGCCTTAAACAGACGGTAACAAGCTATGACCTAACCCAGTTGACTGGTACCCAAAATGAATCCTTGTTTAGTTTCTCTAACACACTCTTCAGCTGATTACAAGCACTCTGGAGGTCTTCTTTCACCAGTATAGTGTCAATTAAATGGCCATACTGCTCTTCAATGAATGCTGCTGAATTAATAATTTCCTGCTGTTCTTCGTCCTGCTAATCAACACGAGAAGATGGCATGAAATTTCGAGCATGTCTTTTTAGTTACCCAAAGTAATGACATTACACACTTCCAGTATTTCTGTACACATTTACACAGCACCAGTTTGCAGCGGGGCTAGGTTTGGTCCTTGTAAGACATCCACACACTGCACTTTGCATGTCCCTGATACACAGTGTCACTCTGGAGGTGTTGGGAGAAGGTGGCTGCCCTTACCATTTGACAGGACTGCTCATCAGAAATGTAACATGACTCGGTGTTTATCTGTGTTCAGTAGCAGCTTCTCCTGCTGCAGCCCAGAGTGATGTACACAGACCCACATGGAAGACGTGCACTTATTGCTTATAGCCAAGTTTTAAGGGAGTCAAATATCTCATTCTGAAGTTCCATCTTAGGACCCACTTAGTTCCCCGCTCTGACTCTCGCTGTTGCAGAAGAGGAGCCCTTCCACATCACAGAAATGCTAGCCTGAATACTTCTTTCATATCTAGAAAAAAGAGGTTAAAGTTGGAATACTTACAAGGGGAACGGAGATTTCTTCTGACATGGGAGACTTCAGGACATGTTTCTTCTTTTCTGGAATGAGAGGCTTCACAAAGATAACATATGGCTTAAACTCAGGAGTCCTCAAGTGCTTTACTGCCTGTGAACAGACGGGTTTTGTTATCTGGCAACAATCATCTACTCAAACTGGGTTCAACAGTTTCACTAGGACACACTGCAAGTCCTGTGTACTATACATCTGAGCACAGTAATCTTTGGCTCTTCTAAAGCAAGGTTAATGTCAGTGTCCTGCCTAGTTTACAGGAGTACAAAAGCTTCCTGGAGCAGAGGTACAAAATCTGAATCAAAATGTCAAAAGTTAACTCCCAGTACGGAGGGATTAAGAGCAGGTACACTGACATTGCTTACAACCCCACTAATTCTTCAGAGACTGTAGGGAGGAACAAGAACTAAATACCCATCCATGCTCTGAGCATTCTCTCTAGGACTTGGAATGGGCTAGGAAGTGATGCACATTTCTCCTATAGCAAGGGAAAAACCCCACAGTGAGAACTGATAAAGAGAGTCATCGAGGCTCTATAACTGGACATCTGGGAGCTGGAAACCCTGCACTGCTTTCTCAAGAGCCCTGTTCCACTTCGCCAGCAACCAGGCCACACATTAGAAACACAAGTTCCAAGAGCACCATCGTTCTTTGCAGGGCAAGCAACCACAAATGGTGACCAGCAGCAGTTACTCAAACGGGCAGCCTAGTTAAGAAATACTTGCTTTCTTTAAAATAAGCTGTAGAACTTACTTCAGGTACCACATCCACCAAACAAACCTTCTTTTTGGCCATCACGGACCGGATTGCCTCAAGACTGGTACCATACAGATTTTCCTTGTATTCTCCATGTTCCACAAATCTAGAAAGTCAATACATTTTTAAGTACCATCCACAAAGAATATTGAACTTACGACATTAGATATAGCTGTTTCCTGAAGTCACAGCAGTCAAATGGGGGTGGGGGTGAAAAACTGGGGAGAAAGGTGGTGGTGGTGTGTGTTTGCTTTGTAGGAATAGTCTTCCCATGTCACTGACAGCTCATCAGCACTACTGACAAATACAGGAAGAAGCTGCATTACTTTAGTTGACTGATGCTCAAGCCTAATAGAAGAAAGAGGATGTTTCTCACAGAAAGCAGAACAAAGCTGGCAAGGAAATGGACTCCAATTTTTCCATCTTCTGGAAGCCAAAAAAATCTGTACTTCCAGGAAACACACTCAATCTTACAGAAAGTCCTTTATACTAACAGATTCAGTCTACAAGACACTTCAAAGCGGACTTAGGAGTTACACTTGTTACCCATCATACTGAATGGAGAGTAATAAGCCCAGGTAAGTGTATGTTACCCCCACTAGATTCAGTTCTGACCAATACTACTTAGGATATGCAGACTTAAATTCTAACTTATGATCCTCCTATTCAGAATCATAGAATTAACGAGGTTGGAAAAGATCCTCCAGCCCAACCATTCCCCAGCAGTGCCAAGGCCACCACTAACCCCTGGCACTGAGGCCTCATTTACACGGGGTGTGAACACGTGCAGGGACGGTGACTCCAGCACTGCCCTGGGCAGCCTGTTCCAATGCCTGAGCACCCTCTGGGCAAGGAATTGTTCCTCAGCTCCAGCTAAACCTGCCCTGGGGCAGCTTGAGGCCGTTTCCTCTTGTCCTATCACAAGTTACTTGGGATAAGAGACTGACCCCATCTCACTACGTCCTCCTGTCAGGCAGTTGCAGAGAGCGATAAGGTCCCCCCTGAGCCTTCTCTTCTCCAGACTAAACCCCCCCAGGTCCCTCAGCCCTTCCTTGTGCTCCAGGCCCTGCACCAGCACCTGAATGTCTCTTTTGTAGTGACTGGCGCAGAACTGAACTTGTCCTCTGTTATTTCTAAATTGCTTTTCACTAAATTTCGGAGCTAGCAGTACAGACTGAACCAAGAGCATTTTACTTGGAAAGCTGAACCCTTCTAATGCAGTTAGGCCAACTTTACACCTGATTTTGTTATTCACATGATGCAAGATTTAACTAGCAATGGTTTTGAAATACAGTCAATTATGCCAGTATTTTAAAGGTAACTCACTTGTTTTGCTGTACATCTGTCTCAAAGGATTGCTTAGAGACAAAATTGTATTCTACTCCCTCTTTCTCATGACTTTTCTTTGACCTGGTTGTATCTAGAAGAGAATGGAAGGGAGACATGGGAGACAGATGAGCCTTTGCAAACAACTGTATTTTCTCTGGTTGAGTTCCAATCATATTTTCATAACCTCAAACAAGAAAGCTGCAGACTGGCAAATTCAAATCAACACAAAACAGAAATCAAGTTATGAGACCAAAAATGAAGCTGCTTTGCTCCCAAGCATGTTACAACTACCACAAAAATCAGGAGGCATACTTCTTACACCTGGTAGAAGCAGTAGAGTATATCCTCCAGAGAACAGTATCTCTTAACTGTTCGGATTATTGGACTCATTTTCTTTGAAACTTTGAAAATAAAAAGAGGAAATCTATAAAGTCCTATTATGTTGCCTCAGAATTTCAAGTAAGAATATCCCTGGCTGTTTTCCCACGAGTGTGAAACTGGCAGAATTCTCTGTGTCCCCTCCCTTTGATATCGTCATTTCTTTAAATAACTGGAGCAGGAGAAGCTCTGGGGAGCATTCCACACATCTGTGCCTGGTCCTGAAAGGGATGTCTGCTAGTTTTTTGTGTACCTGTTTAAATACAACTAAACATTATCCCCAACTTCTGCTGCTGCCTCCCTGACAGACAGTTACTGAAATGTCTGAAGTCACATGGAAGCAGCACCCTCAAGGTTCATTTTCTGGATTGTGGAGGTAGCTCAGTGAGGATACAAAGATTGATGAGTTACTTGTGTAACCCTGGCCACAAAACCCCAGAGCAGGATCACTGCATTCTCTCCCACTGTGACTGGCTTCTTAGCCTGCATACACCGGCCAACAACTGAAAATCTTGTAAAACTTCTCACTTGGCTTATTGCTGTCTATTCCTCCCCCCCACCCCCCTTTTTCCCCTCTCTTTACAGTTTAGCTGGTGTGATATTCTAAAGAAAAATCATCCTCTTTTAAAGACATGGAATGTTTGGGCTGAATCTTAAGTCATCATTTTTTCACGAGTTCTTTTTGCCATTTACAATCTTGTTTTCTTCCTGTATTCAGTTGCTAATTTTTTTAATGAATACTTAGAAAATGCAATGTGTTCACGTGGGAAAACATATGCAAAAAGTATCAACTGAGCTGACAGAACTCCAACGTGTCTATGTGCCAAATTATGTCGTGATCTCTTCAGCTGTTAAGGGCCAACATGGTATATCACGATGTGAAAAATGATTTTAAGTGTTTCTGAAATATAATATAATCAATAGTCAAAAGAAAAGCTGCCATTCAGCAATGCAGCTAGCATGGCACTCTTAGAATGTATGAAATAAAGCAGTGACACACAAAAGCCAATCCATGTTACTCACGTGGAACTGCCACACCATACTCCTGCGGGTTCTCTGACACAACCTTCTGCTTGAGCTCACTTAATCTGGCCCCCAAGCAACCTAATAAAATAGAACTGACTGACAGATTCTTGTGTGGAATGAAATACTGCAAAGAGAGTAAGTAAGATCAATTTCACACAAACAGTATGATACAGCAGCGTGCTTGAAGCAATCTGTGCATGAGAGACCTCATAAGGAGCCACATTCTGCTTTGAAAAACATCATCAGAAAAACTGAATTCTTGAATAGCTGTTGGACAAACACTTGTCAGGCACCAAATCAGGAAATTTGTAACCTTAGCAGTCAGTTTAAGGAGATACCCTTGATTTCTAGTGTAAGAATGCACATGTTTGAGTGAGAATCAATGGGAAATGAGTCACAAAAATGAGCATCAGTATATTGAGGATTTAGTGAGTGTGGTTGAGTTTTGCCTTTTTTGTTTGGTGGTTTTCGTGGGGTTTTTTAATGTCATTTAAAAGAAAAGAACTTCTGACCAAAACCAGAAAAGCCTTTAAAAAACCCCCATCAGAACCAGAAAACCTAAAACTGAACACCTAACCTTCAGGTGTTTAGTTCTGGCTTCCTCTTGGAATGCTGGTGATAAGGGAAAAAGGAGATACACGAAAAATTTTGAACCAATTCTGCATCTTACCAATCAAAACCACCAGCCTCTGCTGTTCACCAGGCTGCTGCTGGTATTTTGTGACCTCTTCATAAGTCAGGAACTCTGCTGCGTCTGTCTGCTCCGCTTGCTTTCCTTCGTTCAGATTGTTCTCCTTCTCTTTGCGACTTAATCTAAAGCTCCTGCGTAAGCCAGCTATAGAGAAAAACAAAAGGTATCTTCAACCATAGAATCACAGAATAGTTTGGGTTGGAAAGGACCTTAAGATCATCCAGTTCCAACCCCCTGCCATGGGCAGGGCCACCTCACCCGAGACCATGTCACCCAGGGCTCTGTCCAGCCTGGCCTTGAACACTGCCAGGGATGGAAAATCTACCACTTCTCTGGGCCAGCGCCTCAGCACCCTCACAGGGAAGAACTTCTTCCTTGTATCTAACCTGAACTTCCCGTGTTTCAGTTTGAACCCAGCGCCCCTGTCCTTGTCTCCATTTTCAAGGATGATGAAAAGTCCCTCTCCAACATCCTTGAAGAACCATGTCTCCACTTACCTAAATTTTCAAGCTTGTTCAGCCAAAAGTTACTCTGTCTTTGAATGAGCTTTTTAAAATAATCAAATCAGTGCCTATATGCAAATTGAAGAGATGAAAAATTTGCACAGCGGGTAGAAAACCAAGCACCCAATCTATAATAAACCCCCTTCATATCACTTCGAGTTGCCAAGTGTTGGCTATGCCAAAGTCCAATCTGCACAGAGTTAATCTAGAACATCCAGGAAATTGACTCTTGTGAACAACCTAAGGGTTACTTTTTCATGTGCTTTTTTCTTTTTCCTCTCCTTTATGGGGCAGGAGCAATGCAGGGAAGAGAAAGGGAGAGGAAAAAGGGATCCTGGTTTCTCACCTATGTACTGGCCATTGAAATATCCTTCACAGTCACAGTCTTCTGTAAATGAAAAAGCAGGGGGGGGAAGAAAAAAGAACAGTGAGAAGATACATTAAACAGTGCCTGCGACATGAGTCTGCCTTCTTGCTGAGGGAAGAGGTTTTCTATCCTGCATTATATGCACACGCTTTTCTAACACAAATACTAATGGTAATAAAGAAATTGCCTTGCACGTATGTAAAATAAGATGTAAATCTATGTTAAAAAAAGCCAACTTACCCCTCCTCAAACTACAACCATAGCTGGGTCCCCTAAAAGTATGTAAAATAAAACATGCTCCTTAGCTGCAAAACACTATACTGCAACCCTCGAACAAATACCAAGTTCTTACACTTCCTGAAAGAGGGCTTCCTGGCTTGTTAAAATACAGGCACCTGTGTGCTCCAAGATCCCCAGAACTCTCTCTACCCACTGTAAGGAGGAGCCATAGGAAAATACATGTGCAGTTTAAACCCGAAACAATATGCACCCAGCCAGGTCATTGCACACAGGTATGTAAAGCAGTGCCAGCACTAACAGAAGACACTAGTAGCAATATACACCTCTCCAGGGCTAAGACCAGAGTTGTTATCTATTGTTGAAGGTAGGCTCTAGTTTCACACTTGTGCTTTGATATCCCAGCCATGGCCAGCTAATCACAGAGTATGTTCATTACTGTCACAGATGTAGATGGAATACAGACACTCGGGAGTACTGTTCTCAAAAAGCATGTGGAATGTGAAAGAAATCACAGCATGCAGAATTCAACTGAAAATACTTGCTGTTTGGGAAGGTGATACAAGCTGCCTGAGCCCAACTCAGGGACTCATAATGAAAATAACACAGAAAACATAATAATGAAATCCTCACAATGAAAATCACATAGTTCTGAAAGCAGCTGCTTATAATGAAAACACAGTCCAAAGGAACAGTGAAGAAAAATCAATTTGGATTGATACAGGTGCTCAAAAATGTTAAAACTCCAATATTTCTTTATTCTTTTAAAAAAATACCAATACAAAGACTGCATTTAAGGTGCAACTCTTTCAACCTCATTCAGAAACCCAGAAAGTGCAAATGTATATCAGAAGACAAATCTTTTCTCTCGAATCAGAAGCACATTTGGAAGTTATCATTACCTACCTCATCAATCCAAATTAAATGAAATATTAACTCAGGATGAAACTGCTGTTGGAACAAGCTCTATCCACTCTTCCCTTTGCTTGGGCACTTATCGAGTGTTTTAAAAATGCACTGGTCATCTACATTCATAGAGAAAATGAGTTAGGAGAGTACCTACCTTTATCAGAAGACTGGTCATCTGTAGTTAGCATGAAAGGCAGAGTTTGGATGATATTAAAAGACTGGCAAATGATTGAATAAAATAGAGGGAATGATTTGCTTAACAGGCTTTTCTATCTCAAAAGAAATGCACTGATGTAACCTTATCAACTAAAGACTTGTGTGCTAAAATTCAGCATTATAACCAGTTATCAGCTTCACTGTCTTGCGACTGCCTGAGAAAAAGCCTAAGTAGCAATGCCCACTGCATGCTTCCTAACGCTGAACGCGAGGGAAAACCATTTGGAAATGCTTCATTTAAATCAGTAATGCTATTTAGATATTTGGCTGAGCATCTCCCCTCCTCATTGTAGCATAAGAAAACTTGTATCTTCTCATGAGATGTGCCATAAATGGCACATCTAAGTGAACAGAAAGTCACTTCTATTACTGAAGATGGACAATTTCCATATTCCTAGTCTACATGGCATTCCTAGCACAATGTCTGGCTTCAAAGAGTCACAGGGCCTTGCCACACATCACTAACAGCCATGCTGAAGTACCCAAGAGCAACAGGAACATTACACACTGGGATAATCCCAAATGTTTTCTGCCTTCCATCACTGACTAGTAATTCCATCACAAGTAGCATTTTTTGTGCAACTAATTCACTGACAGATGTTTGAGAGCTGTAAACAAGAATCACTTTAAAGTCTACTGAAGACCAGCTCTGTTACACTAAGGCTGAAATGCTCCACTGATTTTTATTTGCACTTTGTTTTCCTGTGAGCTTACAGTCAGCTCATGCATTGGGTTCCTTCTGCAGCTTTCAAGTTTCAAACCATAGAAAATATGTGAACACTGGCAAATTTTAAAGCATCTAAACAATGTGGAAGGCTTCATGGTCCTGAAAGTAGGAAGAGATGGGCAGCTGTGGTTTTGGGAAGCAACAGGCACTAGTAACACTGAACAAAGCTCAAACCCAAATCCTCTCAAGTGGCAGCTTGAATCCATGCACAGCAACCAATGGCAGATTACACGAAATATATTCAAACATCAGTATTAAAATAACAGAGAAATACTGAGAGGTTGGTATCGACTAAGACATCACTGAAGGACAGACTTACATACTGGTTTCTTCACAGTCCTGGGATTGGGCAGGGTGCCTATTGTTCTTCTGTAAATCAGCCGTCTAAATAGGAAAGAACTGTATTTTAGTCATATAAGCTCAGAATGATGAAGAATTTATAGCATCTTCTACATACAGCAGTGAAAATAGAGAACCAAGTAGTGCTTTTCCTTTAAAAATATAAAATGCCTCTGATTCAACATTTTAAAAGACTTTTGCTGTTAAACCAGTGCCTGAGAGGGAAGATTCTAAAACATTTTAGGCTTTCATACATCAGAGCAGAGAAATCAATACCATGTTACATTTATCAATGGCATTCTTTTTCTATTTCGTTCTCCCCAATCCAACCTTTTTTGCAAGATAAAAACCCCAACTATTCCATTCCATTCCTATTGAGAATCCAGCTCCTAGCTGCCATTTTTATGAAGGATGGGCAAAATTCCTGTCTGGACAGGACCCTGAACAACCTTGTCTAGTGGAAGGTGTCCCTGCCCGTGGCAGGAGGGTTGGAACTGGATGATCTTAAGGTCCTTTCCAATCTTAACCATTCTACGTATCTGGATCCAAGCTAAATGTTCCCTCAGGAGCCAGCAGAAAGATCATACACTTTTTTTACTACTACTACATGCAGAAATTGATTTTTTTACAATAAATCAGCATTTCCTCTTATACTATGAAAGTACAAGTCTGAAATACAATGTCTCCAAAAACCAAGAGGGTCAGAGAGTGATATTCCACGTTTCATTCTATATACATTTGTTTAGCAAGTGCTTCTGTCTTCATGCTACAAAGCATAAGTCAATGGCAATCTAGGGGAGGAAAGCTAGGATGTGTATTATGTAGCTGGAGAAGATGAAGCTTTTTAGCACTTTCCTCTAAGCATCTGGTATTCACCCTGGCATGATCCTGCCCTTTGTGTCCTGTGAAAAAAAGCAGCAGCATAAAATCAGTGTGACACTATTTGTAATCTTCATGAACAAACCTTTCTTGGAACTGTTTTGAAGGGATCAAGCCTGCTCTGAGATTGGTATCTCCAACACGCTTTGCTTGCCACCACGTGGGATCGTCTTGGCTCACAACTTCCAGGACGTGTCGTCTCTTAAATGGCAGCCCAGCCTCCTGGCAAGGAATAGCTCTGTCTTCATTGGGGTTATAGCAGAAAAGCGCCCTCATAAACACCTTTAAAAGAAAGCAACACGTTGACCTGGTTTAGAGAAAACTGCCTTTAAAAGGCTTCCCCAGTGCTTACACTGCTAACTACATTCACTCTTCACCTCTTCTGTATGCTTTATGGTACTCAAAACCACTGAAACCTACCACACTGCATCTGCATTTGGACTTACTTCTGCAGAAAAAGAAACTAATTTTCAAGTACATGCCCACTCATTTTGAACTGGCATTGTGGAACATGGGACTAAAGGATTAAAGTCCCAAACCCACAGTTCACAGAGTCTACTTAAGTATAAAACGCAATAATCAAAGGAAAAAAAAAAATTAAGGGTAGGGAGAAAACAATAAAAGGGGATTTATGGCAAAGTTGCTCAATTATAAAGACTATCCTTGAAAAGTTTCTTTAATGCATCAAAATCTACTAGTCAACTTTGTTATCTTACTACTATTTATCACATCACGGCAGAACTACTTTGAGAAGTGATTTGTGGGGCTTCAAGGAAAAAAATAGCAACTGAGAGCAGAGAAGCAGAAACAGAGACTGACAGAGGAGTCCTGTAAGGGACCAGTTGAGCAGGAAGTCACAGCTGATCAAGGAGGGCAAATGAAGCAATCAGGTGTGTGCTGATGTTTGAAGTGGACTACTGGGGAGGGATAATGTGCAGCTCTGCAGGTCTGTTCCGACTCAAGTGAGCAGCAAAATGCCCAGAGGTAATGGACAGACAGCAGCTCTCTTGGGAAGAGAAGACTGGGGGGAAAACCAACTTTAATTACACGAAAAAATCCAAGGGGCTGGGATCTCAGAAATGCAATGGAAGAACCTGTGCCCAGGCGACAAAGAAGAGAGAAGTCATCTAGGTAATTCTACTGAATGAAAGGGCACTGCATTTTACAACCAGGAACTGCTCTACTGTCTTTTTAGTTCAATCATGTGTCTGTGACACTCCTCACTGAAACAGCAGGCA